TGGCCCCTGCAACTGACTGTGGAAACGAGCATTTCAAAGGCCCTCTTCTCAGTCTCCATTCATCACTGAAGGTTTTCCTTCAAGAAAACCCTAGTCTTAAGGCAACACTGCAGTGAGAAGCAGCATCAACAGTCACACGAAGGTGTTCTCTCGAATAGACCTACACTCATTTCCTGATCCATTTCCTGTGTGTTTACATGGATTCCTGAGCTCCACTTTCCAGCAACACGCCATTTACTGAGGTGCCATCTTCTTGGGTCATCAGCTCCTGGGTAACCAGGACATTCCAACCAGCTACACTGAAGCATCAACAGGTGGGCTCCACACCACCTAGCCTCTGGGAATGCCAGTCTGATTGAGTCATTTCCTTGCTTCAAACCCTCCAGTGAGCTCCCAGGGCCTCAGAATAAAGTCCAAAGGCTGCGCATGACCCAACCACTGCTTCCCTCTCCCGCATCCCCTGACGCCAGGCCCTCCTCCGCTTCATGCACACAACGCAGATGTCTCTTAGCCCCTAGACCCACAAGCTCTCTCTGCTACCCACATCGCTCTATCCCTTCCCTTCTCCAATAACTCCCCAGGAAGGCAGTTCCCACCTCCCATGTGAGAAGAGGTACATACTCCCTCACTGCCTGTTCCCCATCTACCACCTTGGAAATCAATCAGTGAAGAGTCATGTGTTACAGGAGTATCTCCCCCGCTACACTAGAAGCTTCAAGAGATCAAGACTATCTCTGTCTTGCCCACCTTCATGATCTCAGCACCCAGGGTGCTGCTTCTCAGGCATCAGACTCAACATACATTGACTTTCTGCTGTCTGACATTCTGAACCTCTGACTTTTATTGAATCAGGGAGTCAAAGACAAGACTCAATGATAAATGTACCAAGATTTACACACTACTTTTAAAAAATTATGTAGCTGCTGTGATTCATAAAATATTAATTCACGGAAAAGCTTCACTCTATTCATGGCTGCTATTTTGCTAGTTATTCTCCTCACCGGTGAAGTCTAGACATTCATTTATGCATGATACTAAAATCAGTCTTCAAGCTCACATCATTAATAGAACATTTAAAAGGCAACCCCTAATTGTGCCTATTGTTAATAAGGGCAACAGTTTTCCCCCTCCTGCCAGTAAAGTAAATCCTTTAGGGTAGCAAAGTATGAATGAAATGCTTTATATTGAGTTGAAAATCCTTTTAGCTACTAAGCCTTTATTCTACCATGCCTTTCTACAATCCCTGAAAGTTTCAAGTTCTAACACACAGAGTGAAAAGCAGAGTTAATGCACAAGTCCTTGCATAGGCATTGTGACTGGATCCTCACTGATTTGACTTTCTTAAAAATTTACCTGGAAAAACTGCTTATAATATTTTCACTGGGATCCACGAGGCTTTTTTTTTTTTAAGAGATCTAGATGCTTAAGCATAATTCACAACAAAAGAATACTCATATGGTCACCCTTCAGTCAAATGTGCAACTGTTTTCAAAGATGTGTTTTCCTCTTTCATTCAAAATATATGTACTGAGCCTCCCCTAATGTATTAGAAGCACTGGGCCAACACACAAAGACAAAATTCCTGCCCTCAAGAGTTCATCGACACACAACAGACAGTACTGAGTACTCTATGAGGATCAGCCCAGGTGCTCTGAGAAGTGACGGGGCAGAGGTGTGCCTGAGAGCAAATCTCAGAAATGCTGTTAGAGGGACACTCCAATTTAGCTCATCATGACTATTTTAAACACAGCCTGTTACCCTCAACTTGCAGAGATCCCAAAGTCCACAGGTTTGGGGAATAAGGGGGAAAGTCAAATGCACTTTATTCAAACAAAAAACCATACACCATCTCTCTCATGTGTCTGATTATTAAGTACATGAAAATAACAACCATTGTCATGTTAAACTATTGTTTTTTAGACACCAAAAGCTTAAAGGGTTGATGTAAGTCTATGAAACTGTAAGTTTACACAAATACTGACAATAAGATAAAATATGAAGTAGGTCAAACACTGTTGATATTACTAGTGTTTGCTGCTGCTAAGTCACTTCAGTCATGTCCGACTCTTTGTGACCCCATGAACTGCAGCCCACCAGGCTCCTCCGTCCATGTGATTTTCCAGGCAAGAGTACTGGAGTGGGTTGCCAGTGCCTTCTCTGCTAGTGTATGCAAGCAGCTTTAATAAAGGTGCATCAAAAATTACCACTGCAATCATACACTAGGAAGTTGAATTTTGCTTTTAAAAAATTGATGCAATAATTTACTGAAAAAATTTTTGGAAAACAGTGATTATCCCAAGCTAGACACACAATTTTTAAATCTAAATGAATCTTTTTCCATTTTATGGGTTTTACTTAAGGCTTTTAAAGGCTTTGTACTTGGTACCTTGCTATTACATAACTAACACTACACTAACAGTGCTTTGCCATAATACATCTGATACAAATAAAAACTGTTTTCCAGCTTGTACTAATACAATGGTAATAAACAGAATAGCCACAGCCTTCAGTTCTCTGAAAGTAGGGAGCATATTAATTTTGCATAAATAAAATAAGCCAGCCCAAACTTGTACCTCCTTTCACAACATTTTTAATCACAAATGAATCCGAAAAATTAATATTCAATTCTAGATACTGTACTAGGATTAAATTAGGTGGAATGTATAAAATGCCTAATGACTCTATTATTATTATTATTCCCATTTAAGAGGGGAAAAATCATGCCTTACATCAATGGAGGCGTCCACAGCCCACACACAGCTAAAGTGGCAGAGCTGGACATCAAACCCACATCTTTCCACCAAACTGAGACTGTGTGACCCAGTATTCCTCACTCAACCCGCTAAAATGGTATTTATAAGGATACCTGTTTTCTGAGGAGAGGATGGAGAGCTTTCATTAGATTCTCAGAGAGACCCGCTGCACCCCCTTAAAGGTTAGGAACCCCTCCCTGCACCAGTGTAACCGCCAGAAAATGTGCACTGGACTTCAACCCCTGCCACAAAGACTATCATTCTCTACTCCACAGTTTCAGTCTTGCTTTAAAATTCTCAGAGCAAGTCAAGATTTCCACTCCTGGACAATTTCCAGCATCCCCTGCCACAGGTTAAGTTACACAATAAACTGCAATACTGTATCACTTTACATCCAATTCTGAGATTTCACAAATACTGACCAATGTTATTTAGTCATTCCACTTTTCAAAATGTGTTTCAATCAACCAATCCTCACTGCAGTGCCTGTGAAATAAGCTATCACTATATCCACTTCCAAGAAAATAAAACACTGTCACCCTGAGGCCAAGTAATAAACCAGCTACAGGATCCCGATCAAAAGTGAGAAGTTGCTGTGTTCCTTGGCCTGGGACCTGCAAGACCATGTTATGTATCATGAAGCACACGCCCGGCTTCCCAGAAAACACAGGGCAACTAACTGTACCACTTTCTCTACCAATGGCAGCACTATATTGGAATCTAATAGTATTAATAAATCATTAAGTTGGGTCATATCCCCAGGTAGCTCTGTGATAGGTGTGGTGCTCAGCTTAACTCTTGGCACTCTGTTCCTAGGATCAATCTGAAGTTTGGATCCATCCTAAATTCCTGATCAAAAAAGGGGAGTGTTCGTGTGACAATAAACTTTACCTTGAAGTTCACTGGTCATACCCCTCACTTCACAGATTATTAAACTGACCTCAGAGGAATCAACTCATCCGAGGTCTCACAGTTCAGGAGCACAGGCAGTTCTAGAAAGCAGATCTCCAGACACCTGTCCAGGATGCCCACGCTCCACCAGGCATTGGGGAATGGGTCCTGATTACTGCCAGAGGGTTCACCAACCACTAGGGTTTGCTCCATCTCTGCCAGGCTAGGAGTTGACTCTCCTCATTCTGCACCAGATCCAGTCTTTACCTGCAGGCTGGGGTCCCCAGGGGGCTACTGTCAGAACACTGGTCTCAGCCTGCATCTTCTGAGGGGCAAAGACAATTACCTACTAAAGCTAACCCCATCAGAGGGGAGGAAAATACAACTCTGGCACTGAGGAACTAACTTCACAAGGAGGCGGCTCTGTTAGGATAATGTTTTATTTATGGCCCTGCGTGATCAAGATGACTTCCCAAGAAACGTCCAAAGCAAACAATCAAAGACACCAGGAACCTTAAGCTTCCTTAACTGTCCTCCAAAGACAGGGAAAAGCCAGAGAAAACAGACAGGAGGACACCAAGTCACGGTCTCGATGTATCAGGACGCGACCCACAAGTTTCACACAAATATTCTTCCAAGAAACCAAGGTGGACGAATAAACCAGGATGGACACAGTCTCCCAAAGGAGGAACTACATTCCCTATTCAGGCTGGCGGCCGGAACGCATCTGGACACCCCGGAACGAGTCCAAATGGGAGATGCAGAAGCTCAGTTCAGCGCTGCCGGCCCAAAGCTAGGAGTCCTCCTCTCTCGAAGAACCGACGCCGGGGGAACAGCCAAAACCACCCTCCCGCGATTCTGGGGCGGATGCTACCAAAACCAGCCGCGCAACTTCGCGGGTACTGCCCCCAACGGCCCCCCACCCCCTCACACCCATCCCTTCACCCCATCCCCCTGTGCACAAGCGCTACGGCACGAAGCAACGCCCACTTCGGAGAAGGAAGTCTAAGTTGTGGGGACAAACCAGGTGGTCAGTGTCACATCCATTCACACACCCAGCGGAGCAAATCCAGACCTGAAGGAGTTTGCGGCTTTGATACTGTACAAGCCCACTCTCAGGCAGCACATGTACACGAACACACACACACAGACACACAAGTGACAATCACGGGGAAACCAACGACCCACAGCGAGGCTCCTAACTGTTATTACCCGGGGCACGGCGCACAGCACCTGGGGTCCCTTCCCCGCTCCATGCCCCAGCGCGCACTGCCCACCGCTCGCGTGCGGGGTAGAGAGCTGGGGTCGCCTGGCAGCCCGGACCAGAGGGGTCGAGGTGGGGAAGGCGGGGCCCACCTCCTCGTCCTGCTCCTCCTGGGACGCGCTGCTGCCCCGGGGCGCGGGTGGCGCGGCTCCTCCCGGGCGCGGCGGCGGCGCTGAGACTCCGCGCTCCGGCACCAAGAGCGCGGGAGCCCACGCAGCGGCCGGCCGAGCTCCACCCGGCGGCGGCGGCGGCGGCGGCGGCGGCTGCTCGCGGGAGAAGCCAGGCTCCCCTTCCTCCGACAGAGTTTCCGAGCCCGAGGAGGACTCCGCCGAGGAAGCGCCGGGCGAGGACTCGGCAGCCACCGCAGGGGCGGGAGTCGGAGCACCGTGACTGCAGCAGCCGCGGGGCACCGGCTCAGGCGCCTCCGAAACTTTCTCCCCCATTTCCCTCTCGGACGCAAAGTGCGGCCCGAGGGGCGGCAGGGGCGAGGCGCGCGCTCAGCGCCTCCCCGGGAAGCCGCGAGCTGCTGGGCTCCGGCTCGCTCTCGCTGCTGCTCCCGGGCTGCGGGGAGCCCCGCCGGCGACTACATGGCTGCGGCCGGACCGCCGGAGCCTGCAGCTAAGTTAGCAGCCGCCCGGGCCTGGCGGCTGACGGGAACTCCCTGGCGAGGAGGCATGCCAATGCCGGTCCGCGCCCCGCTCCACAGTCCTCCGGCTCTGCGCCCGAGCCGCCGGGACTGCGGCTTCTCCGGCAAAACCTGCCCCTGGGACCGAACGGGGCCGGCGAAAGAGACGGGCAGCAGGGGGAGCCAATGGCAGGGCAGGCGCGCCGGTGGGCGGAGGCTACGGCGCTCCAGGCGCACCGGCGTCAGGTAGGGGAGGCGGGGCCGAGGCGCGGGCTGCGGGGTCCCGCTTGAGATCCCCGGGCCCCGGGGACGCGAGGGAGCCACCCGGCCCCGGAGGGTCGGAGTGGAGCCCGGAATCCGAGCCGAAGGCTGGGACTCTGAATTTAGCCAAGCAGTGGCTGGCGGTCCTAGGAACCCCAGGGGGAGAGGAGATGGCCGAGGGGGGCAGTGCAACCCTGGAGAACTGGACTTTGTTTCGAAAAAGTGGAATCCAGGAAACTGACCAGAGAAGTAGCGGGGCTATAAGGGTAAAAGGAAACACAAACAGTCAGGCACACGCACGCACCCACCTGCGTGCTGGAGGAGAAAGGGGGAAACTTCGTGGTATGGTGAGTGCGTCCAAACCCAGCTGATCTCCGATCCCGGACTCCCCACTTGAGCTTCATGGGCTTCAGGATCCTCAACTGGAAGTGAAGACGTTCACACCTGTCTTGTCTCCCTATGAGCAGAGTTAGAGCAAATATATACACAGCTTCAGCAGACTGCCTGGCTTAGACACATGGAGGGTTTTCAAAAGATTATTTTCTCTCTTTATATCTGTTTGTCAATTGAATAAAGATGTGTGTGCATTTTAAAGGGGAGGGAAATGACAAATTATGCCGCTATGGCGCCTCAGTGGTAAAGAATCCACCTGCAATGCAGGAGGCCAGGGTTCCTGGGTCGGAAAGAGCCCCTGGAGAGGAAATGGCAACCCACTCCAGTATTCGTGCCTGGAAAAGTCCATGGACAAAGGAGCCTTGTGGGCTACAGTCCCTGGGGTCGCAAGAGTCCGACACGAATGAGCAACTAAACAACAATTTAATTAGGGCCAAGAATATGCCCAGCTCTGTACCAGATACTAGACAAAGCTAAATTAGAGAGGAGTACTGGCCCACCATTGCCTGTCTTTCCACATCAGCCAAGCAGAGGATGAAGAGAGATCACATTTCCACTTTAAGTTCTCCTAGCTCTGGCTTGCAAACCAACAAAATGCAGGACTAGTTGCTTCATTTTCTTTACCTCTAAGAACCAGGAGAAAGAACTTCCACCAAGGATACCAATAGAATCACCTTAACAGCCTCCCCCTGGGTGGCCTTCAGGGTGATGGGGTGACATGAATTTCTCAGAAGCCAGCAGGCAGCTCAACAGTGGGAAAAAAATGATTCCTCACTTGCCTTTAGCTCCATTCCTATTCTGAGCTCTGGCACTGCAACCTGGGAGATAAATTCAACCAGATTCAGTTCCACAGATGTTGATTGAGATGTGTGCCCAGTGCTTGCAGGGGATACAAAGATGAATAAGGCAGGTCCCCTGCCCTTGAGGAGCTTACGGTCAAGCAAGAGATTGATGCTGCATAATATATCTCCGATGTTAATTTTCCAAAGCTATGGTAGTGCTGCAGGAACAATGTGCCACGGAAGAAGAGGGGAGAGTGACAAGAAAACAGTTTAGGTCCTCAAGCATCTTAGATTTCTCTTTGTCAGGACAGCCTTGCCAAAGGTCCTTAAGAACTAGAGGACTCAAGCTGAAAGCCCCTTCAGCTAATGAGCCCTTTTATGCTATCACCGTATTTAGAAGTGATACATCATACAAAGTGCTTCATCACGTTGGACAGCAAGTTTTGTCTGAATCAGTTTCCTCCTCCAAGATGAAGGGGCAGGAAATATGATGTGACTCCACCGCCACAGACAGCCGTACTGAAAAACACCTCGGGCTGTCAGGCTTCCACTGTGACCCTTCGGAATTATCTGAGGGGCTGTGAAGACCCGCTGAGGCAAAAGAACAGTTCTAGGGCCTTGACTAGCTGTGAGAGCAAGGCTAAAGAGAGAGCTCAATGGGGCAGTCGGAATCCGACCCGGGCCTCACAATTGCTTTTCTCCTCAGGAGGATTGGTCTTTATCTGAGCCCCTATGTGGTTGATTCACCACAGCTGAAGTAAAATGATGACTTAAGCAAGCCATTCACACGAAAGAGGAGGAGGGCTACTCTTCAGTACATCAGAATAGAGGCAAAGACATGACCTGAATTGCCAATGGGAAGAATGCTAATAGCTATTATCGCGCCTTCCCAAGCATCCGTGGGTAGTCTCGAGCAATTCTGGCAACAACCTTACGAGACAGTCTGTTAACCCCACTTTATAGATTAAGAAACTGAGGATCTGCAAGGTCAAATAACTTACCAAAGGTTCCACAGCAAGTGAGTAGCAGAACAGTGATTTGACACCAGCAATCTGGTCCAAGGCCCATTCTTAAATATTCCAACATATTGCACTCAGAAGGGGACTTGTTCAAATACACATATATATTAAACTACAAATATCCATAGGGCAGGGACTCTGCTGTCTTGATTTAAAACATAAAAGGTTATAAAAGGATACTTGCAGAACAGATTTTTCCTCCACAACCCTCCTATATAAGGCACTTAGCATGTGCCAGGCAAGATTTCAAGCACTTGACAAGTATTAATTTTCTTAATCCCCATATCAACCCTATAAGGTAGCCACTATTATTCTCATATTTCATATGTGATATGTGTGAAAACTATGACACAGAGAAATCAGGTTATTTTCCTAAAGCCACACAGCTAGAAAGTAATGGAGCCAGGGTTCATGCTAGAGAAATTGGACCCCAGCATTCATGCTCTTAACCCTTACAGATCAAAACCAAGTACCAGATCAATATTTCCTAAACTTTTTAAGCTCAAATAAGAAATATATTTTACATTGCAACTCATGATACATGTACATGCATACAAATATAAATAAAATTTCATGAAACAATACTTACCCTTCCTATGGGCACTGTAATTTTTTTATTATATTTTATTGAAATTAAAAATGCTAGTTGTGATCAGCAAAATGGATTCCGCTTTGACACATGCAGTTGCAGGCAGTGTACTTAATCATCTCCACAGCTGACCTATAAGGGAAATACGACTCAGATGCAGGCAGAGAGTTTCCACACAAGAACCATGCAAACTCAAAGGATGACTCTATAAATAGAAGATAATCAGAAGGTCAGGATAGTTCCCCAAAGTCAACCCAATTGACCTATAGACAAATGTTAGGGTACAACCAAACCACTTGACCAGTTCTGATTTAAATCCTACAGCTCACCTTTCTTATTAATTAAATTATAAACGCCTTCCTCCGTGGCCAGGAAAGCACCTCTCCAAGAGAACATCTCATAAAATGTCCCTAATGTTGGAGACTTTGGGACCAGAGATAGTTATAAAAGTGTGGCTTTTTTCCTGCTGTGTCACTGTCAGCAAGGACAAGAAAAATAAAAACAACTTAGTCATTACTCCTGAGAAGCCGATAGTGTAGCTTGAAAGGCAGAGCCAGATTAGCCTATTGAGTGGGAAGGACAGGGTCAGGCTACTCCAAGGTAATCAGGATTCGCACGTTCTACTGGACATGTTCCCAACTGTCTGGATCTGGAACAAGCACCCCAGGCACCGAGTGTTCATTTTGCTTTGTGACTGGACACTGGCTTCAGTTTTCTGTGTTGTTCTCCCAGGTTATGGGAGATATTGCCTCTGAGAGCCTCTGTTGTCTCTGCCAATCTCTGCAGTGTTGGAGGGGCCAAGTGTGACTGTCAGTGTCAAGTCCTATCTGTAAGAGATGGAGGATTTTTGAGGACAAGACATTACACACTTAGTCTATTCTGTGTCATGACTTTTCCCCCAGGTTGAACGCTTGATAAACTTGAAATCAGTTGTTCCTTTTCCTTATGTACATAAAATAAGAACATTATAAATTCAGAACAGATATTTTTGCAAAGTTACACACTCATTCTCAATATTCCCCAAATCTTAAATACCATATGATCTTTGGATTATAAACATGAAATATCATCTTTACCTTTGGTATGTTTTTAAGATTTCACCTTTGGTAGGTAGGTTTTTCGGAGAAGGCAATGGCACCCCACTCCAGTACTCTTGCCTGGGAAATCCCATGGATGGAGGAGCCTGGTAGGCTGCGGTCCATGGGGTCGCTAACAGTCAGACACGACTGAGCGACTTCACTTTCACTTTTCACTTTCATGCATTGGAGAAGGAAATGGCAACCCACTCCAGTGTTCTTGCCTGGAGAATCCCAGGGACGGGGGAGCCTAGTGGGCTGCCATCTATGGGGTCACACAAAGTCGGACACGAATGAAGCGACTTAGCAGCAGTAACAGCAGGTAGGTTTTTAAGTTTTAATTTTTAATAATAGATTTGCCTGCTGCCCTATGACCAATAAAGTACAATTTTGTGACAAAGTAAACATCTATAAAAATGTGGCCACTGAGGGGGCCTCAACTGGGGTTTTTGATTTATACCAGAGGGTGTATCATGATATGGACCATGATGGTTTCTGACCAAACAGCTGGAATAAAAAGCTCTCATAGCATCTCAACTTTCTATTTGTGTTTGAGAAGCTAGGAAAGGAAAGGTTATAGTATACAGGTTTCAGAAGAGGAATAGAGAATTTCTTAAGTGATAGTTGAAAAGGACAGGGGAGGACCAGTAATATCATGATTTGCTCTGTTGGAGTCTCTGACCTAAAGATCGAGAAGGGTGGGAAGCTGTTATATTAGCAAATTAAAATAAGCCTGTGTGTGTGCTATTCTCAGTCATGTCTGACTCTTTGCCAGCCCATGGACTGTAGCCTCTGTCCACGTAACTTTCCAGGCAAGAATACTGGAGTGGGTTGCCATTCCCTTTGCTAGGGGATCATCCCAACCCAGGGATCGAACCTGGGTCTCCCGCATTGTAGGCGGATTCTTCACCATCTGAGACACCAATGGACCAAACAAGAGAATGCTGCAATCTGTTCTCTTAGGTCAATGCTTCTCCATGTGCTGTATGTGGAGCACTTGGTTCGTATAGCCAGGATACAGACAGACGAACAAGGTGCTTGTTTCATGACTCCAGCCAAAGGTTTGGGGATCTGCATTTTTAAGGAACGTCCCAAGCATGTGTCAAGAGTATTGAAGCTTGAGGATTACTGATGATGATCCTAATTTGAAGATCAGAGAGCTGCTTTGTGGCACACGTGTGCATGGCTCTGTAGAAAGTGACTAGAACGAGCTTGACGGATTGCAGTCTGTGTCTCTCTGGACCTTTATGCTCTTGGAGGACAACTACCTTGGGGAGACGAAGGCAGCTTAGCAGCTGGACAGGAATATGCATATTCTGAAAACAGCTGGGAAAACTGAGCTAATACACAAAGAGAACCCTTGAGAATTCTGTTTAAATAAAATTCAAAATGGTGACCTATTTCTCATAGAAGACTCAAGTCTTTGGCATCTGTCTTTCCAAGATAGATAAGGTGGATATTCATATCTGGGATTTTGTTGTTGTTGTTATGCTTTCAGCATGAAGTGTTCTTTTATTATCATTCTTCATTTTTCAAAAAGATTTATTCAGGACTCTTCTCCTGTTTAAGAAACAGAAGAAAATCGAACACATTTACTCATTTTTATTCATTGTAGTGGTTTACTTTCAGAGTCAAAAACTTCCATTTTTAATTCATGCAGAAACCTCCTTGATCCTGTCTACACTGCATGGCAAGTAGTTCCTTCTACCACTCACCCCAACTAATTAGAAGATAAAACAATGCTGAATAGTAACCTACCAAGTAGCAGCTCTCCTCGATCATAAGTCAGCTTGCAGCCCTAGAGGTAATGTTTAAGGGTTTTAGTACTTGAAGAAAAAAGCCTTCCAGTCCCTTTCCCCTCAAAGTGTGGTTTGCCACTAAGCCAACCCAAGAACTTGTTAGAAATGCAGACTCATAGTCCCTGCCTCAGACCCACTCTATCAGAATCTTAACGAGATTCCTAAGGACTTCATATCCACATGACAGAAAATCATCACTTTAGTTTGGTTCTCACATGTGGCTGTATGTTAGAACCACCTGTGGAACTTTAGAAATGACTGACCCTTTGGTCCCACCCCTCAAGATCTTTTGATTTAACTGGTCTGGGTTGTTGTCTGGACACCAGGATTTAACAGGTTCCCCAGGTGGGAAGTGGTTTATCTTAGGGCCAAAGTGGCAAAATACAAGATAAGCCTACAACAATTCATGGTACTGCAAACTAAGAAATTGCTCAAAAAAAAGATAGGACCTTGTCAGCAGAACACAGGTAGCAGCCTAAAGGAGTTCTCAAAGCCAGTATTCTGAGCAACAAAATAAATCATGATGATGTGGGTTTTAAACCATAGAATAAAATCAGTATTTGTGAATCCAAACTCATATAAATAATGAAATAAGAAGGTAAATGGGTGAGCAGAGATAATTCTTCCTCACAATAGAATTCCAGTTAACAGATGTAGAAAGAAAGAGGTTGAAATAAGAATCACCATTAGGCAAACACCACTATTTATTGTGCATAAGAATAAATGTAGCAGCTTCTGCTGCTGCTGTTTAGCTACTTAGTCATGTTTGTTTTACAAGCCCATGGACTGTAGTTGGCCAGGCTCCTCTGCCCATGGGATTTTCCAGGCAAGAATACTAGAGTGGGTTTCCATTTCCTTCTCCAGGGAATCTTCCTGACCCAGGGATCGAACCCATGTCTCCTCCTTGGCAAGAGGATTCCTCACCACTGAGCCACTGGGAAAGCCTCAAATGCAACAGACAAGATCCAAAAATATGTGCGCAAATTAGCAAGGCAAAAGTTTGAGAGAAAGGTTTTGTGTAGACTTGAAGTACTTCCCCCACAATACTTACAAATATGAAATCTACCACCACGAAGCTAAAGCCACTTTACAGTGCAGAAACCCAACAAACACCAACCTAACCATACAAATATCACTGGTAATAGGAAATATCAGCATCCTGAACCCCCTGAGATAAGGTACATCATTAATTTTCTGGCATTCTTGACCAAAAAATGTATGACTCACTCCAGTCATAAGAAAACATGACAATCCAAATGGAGAGACATTGTTCAATTAGTGATTAGGGCTCTTCAAACATATCAAGGTCATGAAAGATAAGGAAAGTGTGAGGAACCATTAAGAGAAACCACAAAGTAATAACTAAATAAAATGTGGGCTCTTGGGTAGAATTCTGGAACCACAGAAAGGATACTAGAGGGGAAAATGGTGAAATTTGAGTCTGCAGTTTGGTTAATAATATTTTATCAATATTAATGCCTTGACAATTATACTATGGTTATGTCATATCAGAGGAATCAGAGTCAGGGATATTAGGGAACTCTCAGTACTATTTTGCAACTTTTCTGTAAATCTTAAATTAGTTCAAAATAAAAAGTTAAAAAGCAAAAGTCCCTAGGTGAATATAATAATAGCCAAAGTTGAGAATTTCACCTTCAGTGGCTCAGGTCCTCCCTCCCTGCTTTCTCCTTACAGAAGAAAACTAATTTTTTCCTATCTTGCCCTCATCAAGTAGACTAGCTCGGGATGGTTGCGACAGGGGGCAACACTGTCAGTAACAGCATCGATGCTATACCCAGAGACACACTTGGGGCATAAACATAATGACAGACACACATGGTACCTGGCGGCCCTGTACCTGTCTGTCTCCTTTTGATAAGAGCAATCCAGTTCATTTTTAAGGTATTGCCTATTTTCCTTTGATGGTCTTGTCCTTTCAGGAGTAGGCCATCCTTGGATTCTGAATCTTGAGAAGAGTAATACAAGGACACTGATATCTAGACAAAGCTATCAATTAACTCCTATTAACAATATCTAGAGCTGCTGTGATTCCAGTACTTTTCCAGTCTTAGATCTCTGGCTTTTCCTTCAATTCTCTGAGTTACCAATAGCACTTCCATCTGGTTGAATTATCTAAAATCGACTATTGCTTCAGACCAGGAAACTAAGAAATACAGGTCTGTTGACCTAAATCTTTTTGTTACCCAATCTAGATGGGAAGCAGACATATAAATGCCATCCGAAAGCTCCTACTTGTCCTAAATTTAGAGATGTACTCCTGACCGCAATAAGGGTCAAATTTAAGGAAACTGTTAATGTTTCAGGTAGAAGAAAGGATCTGTCTTACTGGAGATTCAAATACTTGTGAAAAACGAATGCACCCAGATAAAAAGACATTTCAAGTTATGGCAGAAATAGATCTTAGCACACACTGTGGCAGAATTGTCTGTCTTTCTACTAGGTTATGAGAAGTCTTGGGGGCAAAAGCAAACCAAATATTATTTATTTAGCACCTAGCACA